TTTATGTCCGAGAGAGAGAGACCACAAGCAGGGGGAGTGGCAGGCAGAGCAAGCAGAGGGAGAAGCAGGCTCCCCAATGAGCAAGGAGCCCGATGAAGGACTCAATTCCAGGACCCTGGGATCATGACCTCAGCCGGAGGCAGACGCTTAACTGACTGAGCCACCCAGGCATCCCGACTGTGTTCTTTGATTCACATAGTTTCTAATTATCATATAGTCCTATTTCTCTATTTTTATGTATGTTGCCTGTGTTTTTGGTGTCATATCTAAGAAACTACTGCCAAATCCAGCGTTGTGAGGCTCTTCCTCTATGTTTTATTCTAAGGGTTTTATAGTTTCAGCTCTTACATTTATCTCTTTGATTCATTTTGAGAGAACTTTGCATATAATGTAAGGTAAGGGTCCAACTTCATTGTTTTGCATGTGCACATCCAGGTTTCCCAGCATCATTTGTTGAAGAGACTGTCCTTTCTGTGGTACCCTTGTCAAAGATCCCTTGACCATATACATAAGAATTTATTTCTGGACTCTTTATTTCACTGATCTATACGTCTCTATGTCTATGCCATTCTGTAGGTTTGTAGTAGTTCTGAGATCAGGAAGTGTGAGACCTCCAACTTTTCTCTTTTCCTTAAGCCTCCACATTAAGTTCAGGATGGATTTTTCTATTTCTGCAAAAAACACTGTTGGGATTTTAAAAGGAACTGCAGGGTGCCTGGGTGGCTCAGTCGGTTAAGTGTCTGCTTTTGGCTCAGGTCATGATCCCAGGGTCCTGGGATTGAGTCCCACATTGGACTCCCTGCTCAGTGGGGAGCCTGCTTCTCCCTCTCCCGCTCCCCCTGCTTCTGTATGCTCTCTTTCTCTGTCAAATAAATAAATAAAATATTTTTTAAAAAGGAACTGTATTAAATAAACTACCAAATTGTTTTACAAAGTGGCTGTACCATTATACAGTCCCACCAGCAATGAATGAAAATTCCAGTTATTCCACATTCTCGCAAATAGTTGGTACGGCCTCTCTTTCATTTTAGCCATTCTAGTAGGTATATGATGTTATCCTTGTGCCTTTATTTTGCATTTCCCCAGTGACTAATGATGTTGAGCATCTTCTAGTGTATTTATCTACTATCTACATATGTTCTTTGGTGAAGTATCTGTTCAAATCTTTTGCTTATTTTTTGAGTAATTTGCTTTCCTATTATTAAGTTCTAAGAGCTCTTTGTATGCTCTGGATACATGTCTTTAATCAGGTGTATGTTTTGCAAAGACTAATCTGTGGTTTGTCTTTTTATTCTCTTAACACTGTCTTTTGAAGAGCGTAAGTTTTTAATTTCAGTGAAGTCTAATTCATGAATATGTTACTTTTCATTCCTTCCTCTGTATTCAACTTTCTTTCTAAATTAATTTTTGGGTAGTTCCTTGCAGCAGAGCCTCGGAAAGGTAAATTCTCATCCAGAAAGGCCTTTATTGTACTTTCAACTCATACTTTATCTAAGCAACTTACAGGCATTTTTCAGCATTCTGAGTATACTAGTCTATTGTCTTCTGGCTTCTACAGCTGCTACAATGAAAATTTTTTGATAATCTAATTGAGAATTTTTTAAAGATAATTTTTTCCCTGAATGGTTTTAAAATACTATCCTTTCATTTTGCTGTATCTAATAATTATATTGAAAATTATTTACATCATTTAGGGCCTTTGTTTCCCAAATCTATTTAGATTTATGTCTTTCACAAATGATAGCCATCATTTCTTTGAATTTTGCTCTACTCTTTTATTTTTATTCTCACTTTCTGGAACTCCTCTGAGGCATATAATGAAACTGTTCACTCCATCTTTCATTTCTCTTATCCTCTCTATTACAGTTTTTTTATTTTTTTTTACTCTCCTTCCTTCTTTAGTTTACTAATTCTCCCTTTAATCTACTTTTTACCTCATCCACTTAGTTTTTTAAAATATTCTAATTTTTTTTTTTTTAAAGATTTTATTTATTTATTTGACAGAGAGATAGAAAGACAGCACAAGTAGGCAGAGTGGCAGGCAGAGGGAGAGGGAGAAGCAGGCTTCCCGCTGAGCAGGGAGCCCGATGCGGGGCTCGATCCCAGGACCCTGGGATCGTGACCTGAGCCGAAGGCAGCCGCTTAGCCGACTGAGCCACCCAGGTGCCCCTAAAATATTCTAATTTTTATTTAGCATTTCGATATTTCTTCTGTAATATGATGTAATTATTTGACATACTGAGATTTTATTTAAAGTTACCTTGCTACTTCCTCAAATCAGTATCAATTTATATTCGTTAGTTTTTTTTCCCTAGCGGCAACTATTTCTTTTGAACTTTCTATTTTTCCTTTGGTCTAAGTTGTTTGAATTTTTCCAACTCTATTAAGAAAAATTTCACTCACAGAAAATTAGAAGGAATGATACAATTAACATCCAAATTCTCTCTACTTAGATTCTAAATTTTTTTTCATATTTATTTTCTCTAACATTTTGTTTTCCATCTTACCATTTGAAATGAAGTTCCAAATTGATTGATTGAGAAAGGAGTCATAATAGTGGTTACTCCTAAAGGTGATTACTGTTTTGGAGTGGGCATGGGAGAACCTTTCTCAAGCACTAGAAATGTTCAATATCTTGATTTCTGTGGCAGTTACATATGTAGAAGGTCACTCAGCTATACAGTTGAGATTTGTATACTTTACTTTGTCTAAGTTTTACTTCAAAAAAGAGGATGGAAAAAGTTGTAGGTGTCATGACAATTTATACCTAAACACCGAAAAATGTATTTCCTAAGAATAAAGACATTCCCCTACATAATTACATTCCTGATATCAGACTAGGAAAATTAATAATTCCATAATAATATATTTAATCAATATTCACTATTTCCCATCACAAAATGCCTTTTATAGCTCTTCCCCACCCTAGTCCCAAGCTAGGATCACACACTGCATTTGTTTACATCTCTTTAGTCTTGCTTAGTGTAGAATAATCTCCAATCTTTTTTGTCCTCTGTGACATTGAGTCCAGGCCATCTGTCTTATAGAATGTCCAAATTCTGAACCTGTTTGTTTCTTCATGGCACTTAACTTTTTCCTTTATCCCCTGTGTTTCTTGTAAAATGGAAGGTTCAGAAGCTTAACAGCAGAATTGTCTTTAGCTAGAATACTTCATAGATGATAACAGTCATCCACTGAGTTTAAAATTTTAGGACCACCTAGAAGTTCTGTTTGGTTCCTTCTTAGGAGTCCTGTTGTTCTTAAGTCTTCTAATGCACTGATAAGCTCTTTCCTTGTGTATTTTATAACATGGGATTTTGAGCTTATCAGTGGGCATTATCTACGTGGGTTCCATGAGCTCTAGATAGGCCAAAGAGACTTTGCATTTGCTTCTGCCTAGTGCCTGACTGCTATTACCTCTCCAGGACCAGTTGTTGGGTTTAAAGTTCCTGGACAGTGCCCGTAAGTATAAATATGAAGCCCACACCATGATGAGGACAGGCCTATAATTAAGAATTCAAGGGAAACTTTAACCTTTATCTGGACTGCTGGTGAAGACAAGCAAGTTTCATTATTATTTATGTATGCTGAGTAGGTAGATTTTCTTCTAGTTTACCCTTTTGCTGAAGGTAAAACCCTTCAAAGGCTCAGCTTTACGTGAGGATCTGAGTTCCAACTACCCTTTGTGACACTGGCCGAAGGCCTAGTCTTGCATCCCCACACACTGACACTCGCATCCCTTTGTTGCACAAGGTGACAAACTGACCTCTCTGGAGGCCACTATAGCACTTTTTTCCATGAAAATCCAGAATTACTACTAATGCTGTGTAAGGGAAAAAAAATTAAAACTACTTTGATTTCACTTGTATTTGTAAATGAAAAGGTTTTTTATTAATTTCAAAAATAACCATATACATTTTTAAAAAGTAGTGATGTGGGGCGCCTGGGTGGCTCAGTTGGTTAAGCAACTGCCTTCGGCTCAGGTCATGATCCCGGAGGCCCGGGATCGAGTCCTGCATCAGGCTCCCTGCTCAGCAGGGAGTCTGCTTCTCCCTCTGACCCTCC